GGTGGTTCAAACCCACCAGCCACTCCTCAGAAGGAAGATGGGACAATCTACTTCTGTAGTGATACTGCCTTGGAAACCCAAGGAGGGGTCACTATGATTCGGGTCCGACTTGACAGCACATAAGAACAACAACAATATATATGCTGTAATCATTGTTTTATCAGGTTTTGGTTAAATGGTTAAATGCCATTTTCTTCAGGAAGCTTTCCTTGATCCCCCAATCTTAGTTAGTGTCCTTCATTGCATTTCCATAGCACTCTGAACTTTTACTATCACTGCATTCAGTTAAGTGCCTGGTACTTATCTAATCTTAGTCTGTGTGAAATTTAAGGAGATCCTCATGTCTTTCTCATTCTCCACTAAATCTTGTCTTGCATGTAACAGACCCTCAATGATTTGTTAGATGAAAAAAAGGAAGGTTTTTGTTTTTGTTTCCATATAAGTCAACATCTTTCTTTTACAGTATTTGGAGCATTAAAAATATTTCTTTGGTCCTGTTTTCAGGTTCTGTGAATCCTCCAACAGATCCTCCACCCAATATTACAGAATCTCCTTTTATCACCCAGTCTTCTCCAGCCAACAGCAGGTCTTCTACAAGTAAGAGTGCTCGCACACTATTTTTCTTTGCATGAATTATTATTCCTTTATCCAAGAAGTTTCATAATGGAAAAAATTTCAGAAAATTTGCTTGATTCATGATTGTTTTTTACCTGTCATATTACATAAACTTATTAAGTACTATTCTCATGGTTTCAAAGAGTTAATTAACACAGCTTCCAAAGTCCTTCATTTGAAGCCTGGAAAATCAGGTCAATAAACTTTCAGTGAAAAATTTAAATTCTGTTTTCACTATTAAGTAGGTTTATAAGTTGACTGTCCTCTTTCACAACTATGTTCTCAGTGTGGTGTTTAAGAAATTGGTTTTAATTGGGGATCCTGTGAGCCAGAGGAAGTTAAACAGTTTTACACTTAAATTAATTCTCATTCAAACATATTTTGACAAAGTTGACGGGTGAGGACTATGGAGTCAACCCTCCCAGCTATGTTATTATTAACAATGAAGTCCAGTCTGTAATTGTGGCAAAGGGACAGCAATGAGTTTTAGACATTTATGTAGATGCAAAGAAATTATAAATCCCCATATCTGTGATCTTTGTATTTAACAAAGAACCATAGTAACTTTCTACAATACAATGGACAAAAAAAAAAAAAAGGTCATAGTCTATATAGAGTAGAAGTATGGTTTTAATTTCTTATTTAATTAAAATGATCAATTTTAGCTCAAAATGAGAGTGAAAATGGAGTAAAATAAAAACTGTCAGTAGGAATAATGAACAATTCTTGTGACCTGAAGCTTTTGGTATACACCTTGCAGTCACTGTCAGAGGTTGTTGCTTCTCAGGAAATATAGCATGTGTCAGAGTGAAAGATGTAAGCAAGTCACCCATCAGAATTTTTATGTCTATTAATTTTTTCTTGTTCTTAATGTTTTGTAATTTTGATTTTTTTATGTGTGATTTTTTTTTTCCACTTCCAACTCACTCAGCTGTAAATCAGAGTTGAGTGTGACATTCTTCATGCAACAAATATTAGCAATATCAATACTAATTCCTGTATCTCTATAAACTCACTACTGCGAAGTTGATTCCAATCCATAGCAACCCTATGGGATAGAGCAGAACCACCCCATAAAGTTTCAAGGTTGTAAATCTTTACAGAAGCAGACTGCCTCCTCTTTCTCCCACAGGTCAGCTGGTTGGAATAGCTCTACATTACCCTGTATGTTAGTTATCTGCTGCTATAAGACAAATTGTCCCAAAACTTTGAAACTTAAAAACATATGTGGTTTCATATAGTTTCAATGGGTCAGGAATCCAGGAGCCACTGGGTGATTCTGGTTCATGATCTTTCATGAGGTTTGAGTTAAAGCTGGTGCTTCAGTGATCTGAAAGCTTGGCTAGGGCTAAAAGATCTGTTTCCAAGCTCAATTTTCCAAGCTCAATGTTTCCTAGCAGGAGGGCTCAATTCCTTATCACATGGGCCTTTTCTTAAGGCTGTTCATGGTATGACAGTTGATCTCCTCTAGACTGAGTAATCCAAAGGACAGAGTGATCAGAGAAAAGCCACCTTGCCTTTTTATGACCTTGTCTCCGAAGTTACACCATCACTGCTTTATTCCATTTACTAAGAGCAAGTCATTAAGAACATCATGAGATATCCAACAGGAGGAGAATTAGGTTCCATCTCTTCAAGAGAGGAATTTTATGGAGAAATTAAAATAACCATTGTCTGTGATTTATAAAATGTATTTATATAAAATAGAACATAGGCTGATCTGTATTATGGAAGATTGATAAAGCAAGCATGATCATTTGTATTTTCTATTTGAGGACACTGAGATGCTGATCACACAACTAGTAAGAGACAGAATTCTTATTCACATCAAAGTCTTTTGATCCTAAATCACCACATAGCAGCTGATTTCTCCGACTGGTCTAAACACGCCATGTGGACAGGGGAGATATATGTTTTGCTTCCTAACACATGCCTAGCACAGAGTAAGCACTCAAAAAATATTAGTTGAATAAAAGAGTTAATGAGAATAATGTATCTTCACTGTATAGATGGCACTGTAATAAATTCCATGGTGTTTTAAAAGAAATATGATAATTTGTTTCTGCCTCTAAAAAAGTTGCAGTCTACTTGAAGAGAGATGACCTGCAGATGTGTAAACAGTATTTCAAAATAGTAAAGTGAATGGTGCCACACCTTATTTAACTAAAATGTCCAATAAGAGGTCCAGACAAGTAAGTTAGGGTTTGAATAAGATAATGGAAATGCTACCTAAAAGAGATGACATAAGCTGATTCTTGAAGGGTATATTATATCTTTCAACTCATATTGAAAGAACATTCTAAACAGAGAGAACAAAATGAGCAGTTGTGCACTGGCAAAATTATTCACAGGCACTTGAGAAAATATCAACAGAGAAACTTGGATAGGAAAGGTGGAATTGCATAACAGGGATCAAGAATGGAAATATCAGAATAGAGTCTTGATCTTCAACTTAAGGATTCTAAGTATTTTAGGATGAGGCAAAAGCCCCATTAAACACTTTTTAAGAACGTTATATGATTTATTAACCAGATATTTATTGAAAACCTATTACGTAAGAAGTACTCTTCTAGATGCTGGAAATATGACAGTGAACAAAACAGAAAACAACCCCTGCCCTCATGGTGTTTTCATTTTCCTGGTTGAACCCAAACATGAATTTCTTCTCATCAAGTTTACTATGGGCTTAGTCAAGATGTATTAAGTGTTCATGTAATGCCAACATCATTCTTACTTCTTTGAATAAATCCAAGGAAAAGGAAAGCCCATATGCTACCCTTGTTGTTGTTGTTATTTTGCCCTCGAGTTGGACCCAACTCATAGCGACCCCTCCTTGGGTTTCCGAGGCAGTATCACTACAGAAGTAGATTGCCCAACCTACCTTCCAAGGAGTGGTTGGTGGGTTTGAACCGCCAGCCTTCTGGTTAGCAGTCAAGTGCTTTAGGCACTATGCTACCAGAGCTCCCATGTTACCCTTAAGATATAATATAATATAGGCCTAGTATTATCAAGGGAAATAAATTATAGTCAAGTAAATATTAAAAGCCAGAAAAATATTCTAGCTGATGAATTGTTCCACTAAGGTGGTAGAGTTGGGATGTTTCTGGAAAACTGAAAGAACTCTTTAAAACGAGATCTCAGCATATGGGACTGGAAGAGTGCTTTAGATCACCAGGTCTCAATCCAAGTGATTTTGCCCACCAGGGAACACTTGGTAATGTTTAGAAATATTTTTGGTTGTTTTAATGTGGAGTGAGGGGATAAATTGCTACTGCCATCTAATAAGTAGAGGCTAAAGATGGTGGTAAGCACTCTACAACACAGGACAGTACACCACAACACAAGTTACCCAGTCAAAAATATCAATAGTGCAGAGGGTGAGAAATCCTGCTTTAGTTCAAGAGTCAAATGTCATAATAAGTATCTCTCACTTTAAAAAATCTAGATCTTCTGTCAGGGTAGTTAAAAAGAAAGGTTATGTTTGGAACAATTTTCAATCTTATTTTTATATGTCAAAAAAAAATCAATGCTAAATCAATAGCTGATTATATCTAAATAAACCTTATATTTTCTTAAAAGAATCACTGAATTACCATTGAAAACTCCAAAGTGTGAAACTTGGTAATTGTGAAATCATATGATGGTTGGCTACCTCAGAAGGATTCACCCTTGGGTGTCTTTTAAGAAAGGAAACAAGATGGAGCATGCCATGGAGAACAACTTCAAAAGCCTGTGGCTTCATTCCAAATTTTTATTCAGTCAAAATTATTAAGCTATACATCTACCTGCAAACATCTAATTCTTATTCTTTTTACTTCCATGAAACAATGTATTTTTTAACAAAGGCAGAAAGTGATAGAAATGATAATTCTAACTAACTGTAAGAGTTACTTAGGGAATCCCAGCTCAATTCAACCTGAATCAATTCGTGTTTGCTGAGTCCCGGCAGCATTCCCAGCACTGTCTTCTGAAAAGACACAGGCTGACAAGCTAATTGGTAAAATGAAATAAGTCCACATGGAATGATCAGACACCTGACAAATCTAGGGTGGGGTAGTACTGGTATAACTCCGGAGCTTCTGATGCCCTGAGGCAGGCCTTTGAACCTGTTCTTCCCTGCTCAGTCATGGCTGGCACAGAGAAACCAGAACTGACCCAAATTTGTAAAATGTGGGTGTACCAGAACCATGACTAGAGCAGGAAAAATTATGGGTTGACGCCCTGCTAGAAACTTATCTCCCTCTTAGAAAACAAGGGCAGTGTGCACATTGCATAACAACCAAATCTCTTGAAAAGCACAGTCAAGAAACTATGGTACCCCAGTCAAAGATGGTGGCTGACCACACCACTTTGAATGTGTGTCATTTTCCACAGTCCTGGCAATAATCCAGTCTCCCACCTCAGGCTCTTGAAAGGTTCACTAGGCCTCTTCCAGGTCTCTCATTCTAGGGCTTCATAGTTTTTCCCATTCAGGTTATTGTTCTGGCACATCCACATTTCACAAACTTGTGTTTATTATTCAGATTTTGCTGCATTGGCTATGACCGAATTGGTCCACAAAGGTTCAAAGCTCTCTCCTGAGGCAAGCCCTGTACCTTCTAATTCACTTCAATGAATTGGTTACTGATTATGCAGCCCAAGAGAATGGGCCTCAGAAATACCAGCCCTGATTCTGGCAGTCATCCAAGACATTCACTCAGTCAACAAATTAATACTGAGTGGCCACAATTTGCTGGGAATACCTTGAGGTGCTAGGGCTATAGGGTTGAACAAGACAGACAGGGCCCCTATGGCAGTGAACTTATGATCTAACAAAACCTTTTCCCTTGTTTTTCATTTCACTGTCCAACAAGTCACAGACTCTTTGGCCCTACCTCATATTTTTATTTCTGCAAACAGTTCTTAGACCTGAAGACACTAATTTTGACATTAAGCCCTCCATTAAAAAAAAAAAAAAAACTTGAGAAAGAGTTTTTGCTTAG